TGGCGGGGGGGTGTGTTTTTGTTTTCAATCTTACGAAATGAAATAAAAATGTTCCAGCTGTGTTTGGAGGGGTCACTGGGAGCTGCTTTCATCTGCCAGTGTCACGGTGAAGAAAATGAGCCCAGTTCTTTGTATGTGTGCTCATGCTTTTCAGATCAGGATGATTCTGATAAAAGAGCTGCTTTTTTATTTGAACCTGTTATAATGTAAGTCTGTGCAATAAGTGCAGTCACAGGGCTCTGGCTGGACTCCCTGTAATGTTCCTCAGTCCTTTAACTATTTTAAATAACAGCTGCCACCTGTGGACTCAGACGTGTGATTCAGAAATGTACAGGGACTCTATGTGAATGTGCTCTAACAAAGGCCTGACCAAAATGCTTCAGAGAAAAAGTCAAATATCTTCATCAGAAATAAAAATCTATGAAGTCTAATCCTTCTTTCAGAACTCAGCTGAGAATCATGAAGATTTAATCTGTTTCAGTGTCAGAGTCACTCTGAGCTGTCGTCACTTTCAGTGACACTTTGTGAAGGAATACTGCTAATAGTGAATTTAATTTAGCAAAAATCTAAATGAACTTTTGTGTAACAGCTACAATGAGTACATACCCCATTAGGAAAGTATGAATAAGGGACTAACAGAGTATTTAGATGCACATTTGTATTTGTAATGATTAAGATATGAACTCATTGTTTGTGAGTGTGTTAACAGAGGTTTGATTTCATAGTGTAATTCAGGCAGTTATTAGTTGTTAGTTAAGTATTTTGTGTGAGCTCGTTTAGAGTGAGGACTATTTTTGCCTTTTAAAGCATTTATAAATGAAAATGAAGACTCAAACAAGTCTCAGCTTCACAACAGAAAAATTACAAACAGATACAGAACATGCAAATATTTATTTCCAGATTCAAAAATAATTGTTTATGAATCACTTACTTTATAAATGATGCTATGAGATAATTATATATGAGATTTTTAAATGAAGAATTATCATTTATATCTGTATTTATACAGGACATGCTAAAGAGGAGTAATGGTGAATTAAGCATTTAATAATACCTTATTAATGCTAAATAGTCTGACATTAATATAACGTTACTGTATTCGTTCCTTCATCCTGCAGGAGCTGCCTTCATACTCTCTCCACATGAGGTCGACCATTGTCATCGTAGGGTCTGACAGCAGCTCCAATGACTTCCTCTGTGGCTGCCACTTTGACTATGGAAAAATTAAAGAGACTGTAGAGGTCTGTGTGTCCCTCCATGGACTGCCTGTAACATCATTCATGCTGAACGATTTTACAGACAGCACTGTGTTCTCCACGTCTTCTCCAGATCTTTTCACATTTGTCTCGTGCTCTTAGGTGAACCTGCTGTCATCTGTGAGAAGCACAGGGCTTGTTGACCTGGCAGTTCTGGTACTCTGTGGCAAATGTCAGTCAGGCTCCACAGTGCTGGGCAGTGAGCACAGTGCCCACTAGAAACAGTCAGAAAAGATGACAAAGGAAAACTGTGAGTCGCCTCCACCTGTAAAACCATTGTTGGCCCTCTGCTGCTCCTGTTGCTCATTTCATCAACCTGCTCTGCTACTTCAGGGACCACATCAATATCCCAGACATTTCAATGACTTGATGCTACACTCTGATCAAAAAGTGTTACTTTACATTTTGACAATAACCTAACCTGAATTTTTTTTAAAAAGTGCATATTTACCTGAAACACACTCGTTTTTCACATCTGATGAAAACAAAAACTTCATCAAACGGATTCTGAATGGTTCGTTGCTGCTTGAAGGCTCATTGGATAGGAGCGTTTTGTGAGTGGCTCAGAAGCCTGCGACAGATTTGGAGGTCAGAGGACAAAGTAGTTTAAGATTTGTGTTTCTCTGTTTCTAATTTCTTAGATTCATATCTCTACTCTAGAAGCATTTTAGTGTGGGCCAGTGTACATGAGCTCAAGCAAAAAGATGAGAGAAGCTTCAGCATTCGAAAATCCCTTTATTGCACCAGCTTTTATGTGCTGTCCAGTTTCTGCTGCTCCACCCACAGGAAGTGTTTCATCCATCAGTGAAGCACCTTGAGGCGACTGTTGTTGTGATTTGGTGCTATATAGATAAAATTGAATTGAATTGAATTGAATTGATATCAAAGTTTGTCTCCTTCAGTCTCAGAGAAACATAAAGGAAACTTTTAGAATATATATTTAAACATTATAGTACAAAATAAATACTTTCACCAGTAAAACATCATTTTCCAAAACACTTTTGAAGCACAACTGAAACTCAAGTGTTTTGTTATTGACTCTGTGCACATGTGCAATCTTCATGCACTGACCCTGGATCAGTATTTAGTCAAATGTGTTGAGTTTGATGAGCAGCTCACAGCTGGAGCTCTGTGTGTTCAGTCTGAAGGTTTCAGGTAAACCTGCCTGTAGCTCCAGGTCGGCTGCACAGTTTGTGACAAACATCAGAGCTCCTTCTGTTCACATCAGGCTGCTCTCGTCCTTCCTTCTACTCCCACATTTATACTGTGAGCAGCTCTGACTGACAACATGCTGTCACATTGAAAACTTCACATCTGCTTCTTCCTCCTCAACAATTGATCTTTACAGTCTGATCTGCAGCTTCAAGGACCTCTCTGCTCCCGACTCTGTGCTGGTTTCATTCACATTCAGACCTTCTTCCTGCAGTCATTACAGAGTGACAGTAGGGGGCGCCAAATGTGACTGCAGGTGTTAGTTGATGAAGTGCTGATTTGTTTTCGCTGGAACAGTTTGTCAAATCTGCTTGTTAACGTCATGTTGATACAATTTATTTTTACAGACTAACATTTAGTTACATTTTGGATCATCAGTTGTCATCAGTGGTGATTCTGACATCTGAAAGGTGGTAAATGTGAGTGTAGACAAACAGGATGACAGCTTTTAGTAACATTTTGGAGTATTTCATCACATTGTGCCGTAGTTATAAAATTATAAAGCTGACATATTGATTAAACTGCACATCTTCTCTTAGCAGCACCCAGCAGTAGGGATGGGTACCTGTATCCGGTGCCATGATGGCACCGGTTCTGACATAAACGGTAGTAATCAGACCGAAAAGCAGCGCACATTTTGGTGCTTTTTTTTTCCTGAGCTGTGATACACTTTAGATTCTAGCCAATCATTTTACGTTTCCGAGGATAGTAGGCGGGTCCAGGTACGTACGTTCTTGTAGAGTAGAGCTACAGATTAAAAATACCCAAGGCAAAGCGGTCAAACGTCTGGCTGTACTTCACAGCAAAAGATGCAAACTCAGCAGCCTGCAACAAATGCTGTAGCAGTCCCCCGGACCAAGGAAAAAATAGAGAGAGCCTCGACGGGTGCAGTAATTTTTACTTTGAGATTCATTGAGAATCTAACAGTGCGCCAATGCACCGTGAAAACTGAACAGAAACACAAAATACATTTTCTTAGGCACTTATTACAAATATGAACTCAAATAAAGCAGAAAATACAACAAAATATCAACTAAGCAAACAAATACAACTTAAAACATGTACCTCGCTCCGCATTCCAAGGCCTGCAAATTGTTAATTTCGCTAGAGTCCAGTATCACGCTGCTTCACGCTTCATCGAGAGCTGCCTACTGGGACATGTGCGCCACAAAAACCGATCTGAGCTGGAAGTGCAGCTTGCTGCTAACTAAGCAACAGAGCCCTCTACTGGACACTACGCGTAGCTGTTCAGGCTTAGATCAATAAACAAAACTGGACCTTTACAAGTGCTTTAAGCTGATACTGTGATACTGTCAAAGGAGGTAACACCTCAAATCCGATGAAACACCTGGCGACGCATAGCGGTTTTTTAAAGCTGAGAAATGCGCCGTATTTGATAGCTTGCTGCGAGACCTCACACCGAGCACATCTACTGCGGGTGTGGTGCCTGTTATCGGACCCAGAGTTAGCAACATCCCCCAAAAACCCGAAGAGTAGAGTCCTGGCCCGTAGCCCTGCCAGTGTAGCAGAAATGATGAGGATGATGATGGCAGCAGCAGTCGTTCTTCTCTGCGTGAGTAGCTTAATGTTGTTCGTGTGTAATTTACGTTGAGTAGGCTAACCATGTTATTACATTAATGCATGTAAGGTGAACTAGCAAACACTGTCGTAGTTACATGCGGCTGTCTTCTTGTTTGATGGCAGATACTCCCTTCACCCTGGCCAAAAAGGCTAAAATGACCAAAGAAAAAGTGGAAAACAGTTAAACATGAGAGGTTTTTGGACAAAGTTTGTGTTTTTTCCATTGATTAAGCACTGCTTCCAGCCAAGAGTGATACCATATATGCCCTATAGCTGCAGAAAAGGCTAACATTGTTATCTTTTTACAAAAAACAGCTGAACATGAGAGGTTTTTGGACCAATTTTGTGTTCTCCATTCTTTAAGCACCGGTTTGAGCACCGTTTAAGCACCGGCACCATTTCAAAAGTACCGGTTTGGCACTGGTATCGGATAAAACCTAAACGATAACCATCCCTACCCAGCAGTTTGTTTTCTAACCCTTTCTTATTTCCTGAGTTCAGTCTCTTAGAAAACAGAGATCGTATGATTGAGTTTACTTACAGATACAATAAAAATGCTGATTCTTTAAATGTCACCACTTTTCCATGTTGAATCATTTAACCCACATCTTTCATACTGAGTTGTTCTCACAGCTGTGTGCAGTACAGAGTTACAGGACACAAGAGGTAGAGCTGACCAATGAAAGACAAACTTATAGAGCTGCTCAGAAATAAACACATGGAAACATCCAAGTGATGATAAATTCAGGCAACATCTAAAAATAAAAGAGAGAGAGAACAACAGAGATTTACAGGAGTATTTCTACACTGGACACTGATCGAGGGTTAGACACAGGAAATGGATTAGTTGCAGGTGAGAGCAGCTCTATCCTGGGAAAAACTTTTTTTTTTTTGACACTTCATCCCTCATCCCCAACCTTTTTATTTATAGTATTTATATACCCATCCTATCACTGCAAACCATCAACAAAATGTTGGTTGTTTGCTTTTGCTAAACATTTTCTCTGTTATTTTTGTTTGTTCCCTCTGTTGATTCTTGGCACCAACTTACTGAACATCTTGTTGCCTTGTTCAGTAAGCAGCAGTGTGGGACAGATCAGAATGAGAGCTGGTTGGAGCTACAGGGCCACACAGGAGCTGATCCGAGACCTCAGGTCCAAACTCACTGGTTATTTGTGAGAATATTTTCCTCTGTTAAAAATTGAAAGACAATTCAAAGATTCACTGAGTTATACTGAATATAATGTAATAATGTAAATGTAAATATCACTGAGAACAATTATGGAGACAGAAACTGATATTTGAATATTTACAGCACTTACAGAAAAATACATTTTCTCTCTGAAAGACTTACTAGTTTTAGATAATTCAGACGAAACAAACATCCACCCAGGATCAGCCAGCCACAGATATAGGAAGCCAAAATGATTCCAGACCCTAAAAAAATCAATTCTATGGTTACAACAACATTAAAAACATAATTCAGTGTTAATGATGAAAAGAGCAGATTTTAAAGACAGGAAGTGGAATTAGGTGATAATCAGTTTTATTTTGAAAAGTCAACACAAGACTTTATTTACACATTTGTGATGATCAGAAGCTCAGGATGAGTTTATGGATGATTTTAGTCTGTTTGATGTATTTTAAAAGATAATGCAGCTCTGAATTTTGGCACAGATCACCTGCCTTATCTATACTAAAAAGTAAATAAATGATTTTAACCCTCTTAGGCTCAAATTAAGTTTTAGTTGCTAATGCACAACCAAGTCCTGCAGTGGTACTTCTGAGTAAAAAAAAAAAAAAACCTCATAAAATATGTATGTGGGGTAATCAGGTTGTTAGTTTTTAACTGTTGCAAATCGGCAACGCCTGCCTCGAGAGGGTTAATATTTAAGTGAGCTTTAAATACTTTATATATTTGTGTGTTTTATTTTACCCGTGACTCTGGTTTCTTTATTCAGATCTGGTGGTTGGGATTTTCCAGGTTGCCGGTTTGTTTCTTTTTTCTCAGACTTTGATTCTGAAATAAAATAAAATAAAAATATTTCATATACAGTTGAAATTTGATATAATATTTTGGCAGTGAATCAAGTTGCTCTGATGCCATATATGATCCTCACAGAAAATTCAGATGTTTTAATGTTCTGGGACCCAATAGTGTCGACTCCATTACACAAACAGGATATTTATAAAGAAACTGTTTATATGAAGATGGAAACCAAAGAAACCAAAACCTTTATCTCTTTTTTTGCCTTTTATGAAAATTAAATGTTAGATTTACAAAGGATCATTTTATGTTTGGACCCAACCTTGATCTATTTTAACAGATCACAGTGATCACATGTGTATAAATGAATTGTCTTACCAGAGACGGTGACTCTGCAGCTGTTG